TGCTGATATGTAAAGCCCCTTAATTGAATGTGATCGGACGCGTGACGCGGGCATATATATAGTAAACACATTATTGCATTCGCAGGTGATCAGGCGGGCTTTATATTTGACGAGAGATAGGCTTTATTATAGATAGAGGGGTGCGGAGAAGAGGAGGAGAGAGAGAGAGAGAGAGAGAGAGAGTAGAGAGAGGCGGCAGATACACACGCACGCACTCGCACACGCGGCACGCGCGCACTCACGCACGCACGTACGCGTATATACGCACAAAAACTCAAAACACTGGATGTAAATTTGTGCTAACAGAATAATAACTGTCATAAAACCCTGTTGTTGCACGACCAGCGTGCAACACATCCTGGTGGGTTATTGATATGTCAAATCGAAGTGAGCGGCCGAGCAATACTGATGTTTTCTCCGACAACTAATAATGGTGCACGTCCATGTATGCCATAAAAATGTCGCACTGGGATTCGGCGTGGCATAGCCACATGTCTTTCACGAGAAAAAGATGATTGGTTAGAATGGAGACTGCAAACGACGAAGATAAACATGAGATGAAGATTAGACGCGATGAAGAGGACGCAAAAGAAATCATTGATAGTATATATATCCAGTATATAGTACATATAGTCTAGCTGGTTTTCTCCAAATCTCCATTTTACTCGAAATCCTGACCATGATGGTCCTACTCATCGCATATACGTACGTAAGGCCACATAAAATTATAATTCAGAAGATGGCTGAAGTGAGGCTCCGCGGAAGAAGATTCTTCAAGATCGCCGTCAGCATAATATTATCAGAAATATCTCTTTTCAACGTAACGCATGCTAGTAGATAGCTCCCAGTAGCCGCCGTGTCATGGACGCTGTCGCCCTTGTGTTACTGATTATCGGCATTCCATGAGGCCTCGCGATATCGCTTCACCCGCCGCGTCGCTGTATAGTTTTTCGAATAACACACGGTCCGTTTCCCCGCTCCCCTAACTTGTCACGTCGTCATTACCGTGAAGGTTTCAGTGCTCGTTCGGATGGAAAACTGCGCTGCTTTCAGCAGCTCAGCGCTAGCGATGGCGTCACAGTCAACGCGCGTCTGATCTCGTGTGCCATACGGTGCACTATAGATACAATAATGTAACCCACAAGAGTGCCCTACTCTTGTTGGGTTAGATTATTGTATATCTAGCGCGGTGCACTTGCTCTGCATTATTTATAAAGAAAATTTGCGCCGCAAAAACGCTGCGTGCCATCTCTCTCTCTCTCAATCTCTCTCTCTCTCTCTCTCTCTCTCTCTCTCTCTCTCTCTCGCTTCTCTCTCTGCTCTCTCTCTCTCGTCGCTCTCTCTCTCTCTCTTCTCTCTCGTCGTCCTGCTCCTCTCTCTATTTGACTGCTCTCTCGCTTCTCTCTCTCTCGCTTTCTCGTTTCGCCCACACACACACTCCCATTTACACTATCTCTCCTACTGCTGTGTGACTGTCTGTCTGTCTGTCTCTCTGTCTGTCTATCTGTTTGTCTGTCTGTCTGTCTGTCCGTCCGTCCGCCTGTCCGTCCGTTCGTCTGTCTCTCCGTTTGTCCGACCGTCCGTCCGTGCGTGCGTGCGTCCGTGCGTTCGTCCGTATGTCTATCTGTGTGTCTGTCTGTCCGGCCAGCTTTGCCTATCTTGCTTTCTCTCGCGCACTGGCTGGGCCGGCCCCTTGTAAAGCCTGCCTACAAAACTACATAATACACGGTGCTAATTTACACTTCATTGGTGTAAGAGGCACCCTTTTGCTCCCGTAACAACAAGTACGCATGTACAGGGTAACGCGCGCGCACGCACAGCATACGCGCGCACTTGCACAAACAAGCACGTACATATACGCACGCACAAACAAGCATGCACACATGCGCAAAGGCTCTCGCATGAATGCGCGCGAGCGACTCCCCTGATCAGTAAAGATTGTATATACACGCTGATTAATCCCTGCCGTCTGGCACT